GAGATGTAGAGTTAGATGATTTACAGCCATTTTTTTCTTGTTTTTTTGAGATGGCCTATAGAACTATGCACTTCCCTCTCAGGACTGCTTTCACTGTGTCCCATAGATTTTGGATTATTGTGTTTTCATTGTCATTTGTTTCCAGGATGCTTTTTATTTCTTCTTTGATCTCTTTGGTAACCAAATCATTGTTTAATAGCATGCTATTTAGCCTCCAAGTGTTTGATTTTTTTTCATTGTTTTTATTGTAGTTGATTTTTCAGTTTTGATTATTTAAAACCCAATGGCTTTGTACTTAGTCAACAAAGGTCCTTGGTTTGAACTCATCTAAAACAAACTATGTAATGTAGATATATCTCCATATATATTTATATCTATTTGTGTACATGCAAACATATATAGTGTCCTGAAAAAAATAGGGACCAGTTCACTACTCATTAGGGACTAGGTCACTTCTGAAGGACTGAATGAGTTAAAACATCTAAAGCATTAAAAAAGTGTCTGGAACATAGCAATCACTTCACATTTGTGCTGTTGAGATTACTATGTGGAAAAGATCATTTTGCCCACGGGAGTAAACCGTTCCTGGTGCTCCCTGCACCTACCCCTCCTTCCGATAGCTTTCCCGACTCTGCTAGAAGTTCCTGTTGGGACAGTCCTCCAGGGTCTCCTGAGTTTCTGCACGTCTTCTGAGCAGAGGCACTGATGGCATTTGGTCTGGATTTGTAACAAAGACCCTTGGAAGACAGACCATGTCTCCTCTGGAGCAGAAGGGCAGGTTTGTTTGCTGCCCCAAATAATCCGTCTCGTCTGAGGCCAAGCTTGGCCATGTTTGTGCAGATCCTGTTGTGGAAGATTGGGGTTTCCTATACTCAGGGTTCTTTGTGTGCACAGCATCACGTGCACCCAGGGGACTTCCGGGGGTAGAAGGCATGTAAATATGAAATATAAGCTCTTGTGATGCTGTGAGAAAAGTCCTTTGTCCCTGTGCCTGGCAGGCCTGACCCCATCCTCAGAAGGATGGTAGGATATTAGGACATCTTGGCAAGGTTGGCCTTGGGTTGTTGGATAGGAACTTGGACCTGGGGAGGGTTTCCACCATCCCCAGGGTTGACAAGAATGGCCCAGTGTATCTAAACTCATTGCACAAACAATGTGACTCGTGCTGAACACCTGCTTTCCTTCTGAGGGTCTGGAACTTTGGTACATGCCTCACAGAAGTTGCTGACATGATCAGCCCCAATACAAACCCTGGGTGCCGGTTTCTCATGAGCTTCGTGGCCGGTGGCACTTCACCTGTGTTGTCACAACTCATTACCTGGGGAAAGAAAGGCTGTCCCCTGTGGCCACTGGGTGAGGACTCATGGCAGCTTCAGCCTGGTTTCCTCTGCACTCACCCCCCACCTTTTCCCTTCCCACATCCTTTCACTGTGATAGATCATAGCCGGGAGTCTGACTATACGCTGAGTCCTGCAAATCCTCCTCATGAATCTTTGAACCTGGGAGTGGTCTTGGGGCCCCGACATAGTCACTGACCCCAGAGTCTCATGTCTTCTGTCTGCATCCATGACACTGGGGTGGGCTAATATTCATTTGAAGGGTGTGGGGCGGGGGGAGGGGGCGGGCGGGAATCTCAGACATTTCACAGTTCTTGGCAGAGACACCTCTTTGCCTTTCTGTCAGGACACGTGTGTGCATGTGCATGTGTGTGCGTGTGTGCATGTGTGTGTGTGTGGTGTGTAGGGGAGAATTCCAGGTCTAGGACCACTTGGGCATTACATGCCACAAACCAAGAACATGGGCAACCACCTTGCAATCATGAGCGTTAACTCAGAGAAAATAGGACTAACAAAGTGGGCCTCGTGGATACTGTTCACCCAAAACAAGACGGTCTTGGTTTAAAAAAATATTTGTATTGATTTAAAAACATTTCATTGATTTTTCTTTTTAGAGAAAAAGGAAGGGAGAGGGAGAGAGAAAGATAAACATCTATGTGAGAGATCAGCTGCTTCCTGCACACACGCCAGGGGTCGAAGCCTGCAACCCGTGCAAGTGCCCTGACCAGGAATCGAACCAGCAACCTTTTGGTGCAGAAGACGACCAACTGAGCCATACTGGCCAGGGCTAAAACCAGCCGGTCTTGAAGGCAGTCGGCACCTGGGTGATTTTAAGATACTTCAGTCAGTAAATTTCCTTTACTGCTTAAGAGGGATTGGATATGGGTTTTGATCACTTGCAGCAGGGATCCTAACTGATACGGGTCACAGCTGCTCAGAGAAGGTGGAGCTCCCCGTTCTGGGTGTACCAAGCCTCGCCCTGTGGGCTCCTTCTTCAGGAACCCTAAGACTAACAGCAAAAATAACCAACTTCCCGCAGCCAACAATTTAAAAGCACCTACTGAACGCAGAGCAGCAGGCAGGAACTGAACCTGGTTCCACTTCAGGTGACTACCAGCCTGGAGATGCTGTTTTGTGGCTGAGATGCGTATAGAAACATGGACCTTCACTTGACGTGAAGTTGGGATGGTGTAACCATAGCAACATGAGCTAAAGACCCAGCTGCTAGGAGAAGAGGAGATGCAAGGGAGCTCCAAGCCACGTTCAGATCTGTGCCTGGAGATGGGTGTCCTGTCTGTCCCCACACACTTCCTGCCTGGACCACAACGAGGGACGGCCCTGCTTTTCCCGCACTAGCCTTGTGCACCAGAACTTGGCCTCGACTCCATCCTTCTGCACACTCTAGGGAGAAGCATCTGAATAACAAAAGCCCTGGAGACTTTGCTTTGGTACCAGGATCCGAGTAACACGGATCAAAGACTTTCCCAAGGAAAGCCTTGGTGCAAAGGATGTTTCATGATTATATCTACACGATACTATAAATGGTAATGCTGTAAATGTTGAGGTACAAACCTTTGCTGATTGAGCATCCTGAATTTATCAACACAGACTCCACAGTGTACAAAATAAATTAACAGGGAACCCAACAGAACAGGCTATGTTGCAAATATAATATGCGTCTTTAACTCGGTGAAGACAAAATAGCAAATATAAATATATATTTGGTGTAAGACACAGATACATAATGTGTACCAATCTCACAGAATCAATTCCATCAAAAATGAAATACCAATGACCTTATCTAATGGATGCGACCATTACTCATTTGGAAATAAGTCTCTCCCCGCCACCCTTTCTTTTCTCCCCAGCACCTGACATACAGGATATGTATTTCTCTGTCACTGTATTCTCTGTCTCCCCTCTCTGTCTCTCCACAGACTGTAAGCTCCCTGAAGGCGAGGTTTCCAATTAATTTACTGCTACATGAGCAGCACCTGCAATTGCACATCTAGTAGGTATCCAATAAATAAATACTGAATGAATTTAAAACAGGCACACATTTAACCGGTACAAAAATCAGTTTCTACAATGTCATTTCATACACCGACCTTACGTCATGAACACTTAGCAAGGCCCTTACTCCACACCCGTCTCTCTCCCCTGACTGTCTGTGGGACAAGTCAATGTTCTGGGGTTGCCTAGGCTTCGGGCACGTGGCTCTTCTGCCCATCGGTGTACCCCTCCCCCGCTCGGGCTGGCTTTCCCCTTAAGACAAGAGTCGCGCAGAAGGGAGGGAGGGAGGCTCAGTCCAAAGACCCCCTGAATTGCCTGGCATGTTGCTCCAGCTTGTCGGCCTCGGCCCGGAGGTGCGCCAGCGCAGTGGGGCTGGGGCGCTGTAGCACAGCGTGCTTGGTGGCCAGCGCCAGGTCCTTGAGCAGGCTGCACAGGTGGCTGCTGCCACGGAGGATCTCGTTGCGCGCGTCCCTGTCCTGCGTCTCCCTGCACAGCGTGTCCACCAGCTTCTGCCCGATCGTGATGACCAGCTTGCTCTGCGCCACAAGGATCTCGGGGGGCTGGCTGTGGTGGAGGCTGCTGTGGAGGACACCCATGGCCTTGAAGAGTGCCCCGAAATAGAGCCGGCAGTGTTCTGAGAGGTGGGCCTTCTTCCCGGGGTCCTGCTGCACAGGGGAGCTGAGGTCCTAGGGGAGGGAAGAGAGAGCAGCGGATAAGAGACGGATTCCACCGACAGGCTGTGCTTGGCCCCTTGTCCAGCTTTTGCTTGGTTTGGTAGACTTTTGATAAGAAAGGGTGGTTTTGTTTGGGAAGCCCCATAGCACAACATTTGCCTAACTAATTAATGTTTATGGTTTCAAAGCACCGTTACATAAAAATTATGATATATGCAATCTCATGAATTGCACCATATATAATCTCCCATATTTTATACAAATATATAAAATCTTACTCAATTCTCCCAACAAACCCTTAGAAGAAACACATTGGTAATGATCAAATTTACAACTTTCAAAAAAATGCAAGAAAACTTGATGGTGAGATTAAAATGTTTCCTCAAAGAACAGATTTTAATGGATTTAAAAACTCCTTCCTAACTCCAGTATCAGAGGTAGGACCTGACCCTCAAAATTTTTCAGAAGAAATCTAAGTATGCTGACATGCCTGCCTTAACATAAAAATATTTCTCGTGTGCCCGGCTGGTGTGGCTCAGTGGTTGAGCAAAAGCTATGAACTAGGAGGTCACGGTTCAATTCCCAGTCAAAGCACATGCACAGATTGCAGGCTCGATCCATGGTGTGGGGTGTGCAGGAGGCAGCCAATCAATGATTCTCTGTCATCACTGATGTTTCTCTCTCTCTCTCTCCCTCTCCTTTCCTCTCTCAAATCAATAAAAAATATATTAAAAAAAATTTCTCTTGCTTGCTAATAAGGTTATATCTATAGTTTCACTTCCATGCATTTTATTTTCTGGACTATGGAACCAGTGTCCCCCTAATGCAGTGGTTCTCAACCTTCTGGCCCTTTAAATACAGCTCCTCATGTTGTGATCCAACCATAAAATTATTTTTGTTGCTAGAGAAACCAAGATGGCGGCATAGGTAAACACCAGAAATTGGTGCCTCCCACAACAACTTCAAAAATACAACTAAAAGACAAAACGGACATCATCCAGAGCACACTGAGAGCCAGAGGAGCTGCGGAAGTAAAGTGCAGAGGTATGGAGGCGTGCGCGGAAATGGGAGTCACAAGCCCACGACTGCTCTGAACTCCAGTTCCAGGAAGTCTCTGGGGATCCAGACTCATATGGGGAGAAACTGGACTGTCTGGCAGCGGGCAAAACTCGGAACTCGAGGGCAGCTTTCTCTCAGAGCTGCTTGCAACGATTACCGGGACACTGAGACACTGCCCTCTTAGGGAAGGACTGAGGATCAGGCATAGCTGTTTACTCCGCCCTGTTGATTCCCTGAGACCCCACCCCACCCAAGCTGTGCACAGAGGCTTTTGCATATGAAAGGCCTGGCCCTTTGCAATATGAAAATTAACTAACAAACTGCAGCTGGGCCAGACAGACCCAGAACTTCCAAGAGAAGGCCCAAGGACCCACAGTAGCTTGCATTGCTTCACAGCTGGGCCTCATCTGGGAACCTCTAACCCCAAACAAGAAGGGGAATCTGCAGATCTCTTCGTAGCTCCTGCTGGGTAGCCTCAAGGAGAGGCTAAATTAGCACCTCCTTAGATCCAAGAGCCAGTGTACCCAGTGGTCAGAGT